ATTTAATACACGAGTTTCACAATTTGAGTTGAATTACTGAAATAAATGAACTTTTCCACTACATTCTAATTTATTGAGCTGCACCTGTATATTGTTTAAAACATTTTTTTTTAAGTATTTAGATAGTTCCATATTTTTAAAATAAATTAATACTTTTATTATGCAAGCATGCATTAAATTGATCAAAAGTGACAATAAAGACATTTATAATGTTACAAAATACTACATTTCAAATAAATGCTGTTCTTTTGAACTTTCTATTCATCAAACAATCCTGACAAAATGTTAACACATTACCACAAAAATATTACATCAAAATATTAATATAGTATGACTGTTTTCAAAGTTAAAATTACATTTTAATAATTAAAAGTTATTTTTATTGTAATATTATTCATGATATTACTGTTTTACTGTTGATCAAATAAATGCAGCCTTGGTGAGCATAAGAAACTTCTTTCAAAAAATATAAAAAAAAATTTGAATTTGGCGGTTTACTGTACGTATGTATATATTCACAGATACAGTTTTGTTTTGTAGTTGTACTGATGACAGTCTTAAATTTTTATAGGCTATCTTTGCACTTGGGTGATGTGGAAGACATCAGGGGACTTGTCATCAGGTAAACACTCTTTTTCTTCTCCTATATTTGCTTGCGCAAAACCTCACGGGCTGAGAATTACATTCACTTGTTAATTACTTCCTCTTGTCTGTTTTCTGAAGGCTTCAGATGTCCAACACATATTATGAATCAGTAGGCCAGAACTGGTTCACTCTGGACAGTGTTCACATCCACTACAACTGGACTCATGAGGCCACATTCAATGCTACGGAGGTCTATGCCCCTGCCACCTATTCTTACCACTGCCAGCATGTCAGCAGCTTACAGAAATATGACACCCTACTGGTGCCCAGCTCCCACACTGACAGCTCGGCAAACTGGCACATCACTTTCACAGATTTTCAGGTAGCTGCCACAAAATGTGCTTGAGAGTTATCAGAAGTTTACTGAAGTTCAGTATTGCTGAGAGTTTTTACTGACATATTTGAAAATTACTTTGAATTTATTTATAGTAAATTCTCAAAAAACAAAACAAAACTAAAGTTCTGTATTGGCATCTATGGTTCCATGAAAAACCATCACTGGAATCAAAAATGGTTCTTCTATGGCATTGTAAAAACCCCCTTTTGGAAACTTTATTTTGGGCTGTTCACATGGCACAAAAAAAACCCTGAAAAAAAATAAAAAAATAACAGCGAGATGTGTTGAAAAAGTCAAATTGTCCTTTCAGTGTAAGGACTCTCAATCTTACAACCCAGAAACCCAAAAATGGAATTACATGGAATTATTATATATATATATATATATATATATATATATATT